ATATATATATATATATATATATATATATATATATATACAAATGTTCGTTATGCTGTTGTATATCACAGTTGTATCCAGAGCTTTAAATAATTGTCTCATTTCGTCAAAAGTCCGCACAGGTTTCTTCACTTACTTTAGAACACAATTGACAACACTAACTATTCTTCTCTACTTTGTTGTACAATACAATCTGCGCTTTAAAATCATCTCTATAACTGTTTGTTACCACAGTTGTATTCAGAGCTTTAAATAATTGTCTCTTTTTCGTCAAACCCCATAAAGGCTGGTTCAGTTACTTTAGAACACAATTAACAAGCCAAATTCTTCTTCTCTACTCTGTTATTATTATACAATATGTGATATTTCACTTTAAAAATCGCCACTATATGCTCTTTATGGCTAAATGTACAAATACACAGTCTAGATCTATTTGACTATATCTTTCACTAATTTTGTCTTTCACTTTCTATATCGAAGAAATTTTGCGACACGTATATATACACACACACACACGGCAGCAGTCTCGAACATTCCACACACTGCTAGATATATGATGCAACAACACTTACTTAAAGAAATGAGAAAAATTCAGAAAGTTCGAGTAACATGACGTCAGTTCACAACAATTGAACCACACAACAAATGATAAATGAACAGTTACGTAAACAACCTTGCGATAAACTATCGCTTCTAAAAATAGCTAAATTTAACACTTGCGCTATGTAAACAATCTAAATCATAACGTTCACATTACACTTAAAAATGAAATAAAACAGTCATGTATATCCAACAGTTCGGTTTATCAATTTTAGGCACTAAATATAAAAAAATACCTGTTCTAGAGTCATAAATTGATAATATCAAATTTTAACATCATTTACTTAGTTGAGAGTGTTGGTGATGTCTTCATGATATTTCGGTAGCGGGTCGTTTCGAAGCGATTTGTGTGTTAGTAAGTCACCCAGGAGACGTTTCCTGGAGGTAAAGATCCTTACATAATACGTTCAAAGTTCCTTCTTTATTCAATGGTTTGATAACAATAGCATCTCTAACACTTTTTTTTAAATAATACTTTGCGTTCTTCATACGTGAGGTTTTTCTTAGAGTTTAGTGCTTGGTAGTTACGTTTGTTGATCTCGGTCCGACATTTATCTACATAATAATCAAGTGACCCACTGGAAGGGATCCATCTGGTGGGAGGGTGTTGTAAGTTGTAAAAGACGTCTTTAGTGGCACTGGTTTGTGTTGTTTGACCGTTTAGGTTGGTACTATTTATAATATGTTCTGTAAGGCAGTTTTTATTGGTTTCACTTAAATTGTTGATATGAAAATAGGCGTGAATCCTTAAGCGCCGAAAAATAGTTCGTAATCACGTTTTCATTAAAATTCATTCACATTTGGTCGAATGGGGACAAATTTAAACCCATTATTCAGCGGGGATATTTCTGCATTTGTCAATGTAAGTCAGGTGTAACACTTATGACGTGAGTTTCAGTCGGTGTCCGTGGAATTATTTAACGTATTATCTTTTATTAAGGGTGACAGCAAATTGTTTGGATGTACAGTTCCGAGATTTAGGAGTATTTCGTTTTTTTTTGTTTTTTTTGCCTTTTAATCATAGAGGGCAGAGTAAGAGGTAGAGTTAAGATTTTAACAGTAGTATCCACTTGTCCTTTTATTCCCTCCAAACCATAGGAACTGCAGAGGGCATTGACTTACAAGTACCATTCAACCAAATTCAGAGATCAACTGCCCAAGTTGCACAACAAATTTACAGAACCCAGATTTTACTTAATCTCCAACTTTAGAAGAGAAGTACAGTTCGCATGCCTTTTTGTATTAGAAGAGACGTTTATTTTCTCAGATTTAGGAGTAAATTTTCCTCATATGTAGCCAAAAGAATTATCTGTGTAAACAAACTTACAAGATATGATGTTTTTTAAATATGAAAAGCAATATTTTTAGAATAATAACATACTAGAATCTAATGTTTAGTATATAACAAAGGTAAAAAAAACTATAAATGGTATAATAATATAAAATGACACAAAGGTAAAACAGTTTTAAAAAACTGTCACGTATTTGGAACATGGATTCTGTTACCACTTTGAAAAGATCATTGAACCAGTGATCTTGCTCAAAATTGCACCGATATATATATATATATATTGATCTTAGTAGAGTCGGAGCTAAACTAAGCTTCAATACAATACTAATAACTTCAAACTCTTCTAAATTCTACTGTTTTATAGTTTACAACTCGTTAAATGACTTGTATAAATCGCTTCTATCGCCAATTTTACTCAGAACTCGCTTTCTGAACTGTACTATCTAGTGAATGTTTCAATATAATCTCAAATATGTCAGCTTGCACCGTTTGTTAACTCTGTGTTAGGTATTCTGGTTTAGGGAAACAAAGGGTGCTCAGAGATAGGATGATCTCTATCGTGGTTTATAAGAATTACTATGTGGAAAAAATTACTTTACTGACTTCATCAAGACAACCGTTACAAAAGGAAGAAGGAAAGAAAGCCGGAGAAGCCCAGACGCCATCTAAAAGAAGACGATATGTGTGATGTGTAGTTGCTCGGGTTACTGCAACTTATTGCTGTATCTTCTTCACTAGAAGTTAGGTCTAAGTAGATTCCAGTTAAGTATTTTAGAAGCTAAATAATAAAATAAATAGAGAGAGAAAATAATAACAATAAAAACTGAATCAATTAAAAATAAAAGAAAGATTAAATAGAGTGATAAAAGAAAATAAATAAATCATTATACAGGATCGAATGATTCAACTTATAGGGAAGGAAATCAAACGATCCAATACCCAGAAATTGATTGTGGAGGGAAGAGGACATGAGAGTGACCTGAGAAATTTCCACTTTCACTGGTCAAGCGCCTTCTATTAGTCTACGGTTGTATGAAAGTTTCTCTTCGTCGTAGTCTTCTTGATTTTTCGGGAATAAATCGAAATATAGGATTTTTTCTTCGTATGAAATCGGCAACTATTTTAGAGAATAGTTGCTTTGTAGCCCGTCGATTATCATGGAAGGGGCCATTGGATCTCTGTGTGTACGTTGATGGTCTCTCTGGCATCCAAGTGTCTCTTCTAATTCGTCTCCATCTTCTGCGTTGACTGCCTGTGGATCCCTCTTTGCGTCGTCAGCTTGCGCCAGTTTATGAGTTGATGCTATCCAGGAGGACGTAGATGGATGTGAAATGATTGGCTGGTTGACATTTCTTGGTTGGTGGAACGAGTGATGATTTAACCAATGGTAGCCACAAATTACTAATATCCCGGCTTGAATATCTGCTTTACTACGGATTCATCATGTTGATATCGAACCATTCTTGGTTTTTTTCTTTTCTTTTTCTAGAATTTGTCTCATTCGATGTCTTTGTAATTGTCTAGCCAGCATAGATGTTCTGCCAGGGTAAAATTCTGTGTTTTAATCAGTCTTTTTATTCTTGCCCTAAAATGTCTTTCAATTTCTCTAATGTGTTTATAGGAACATAGT